AGGTAATATTCAGAGGAAGATTTTAAAATAGTGTTGCTTATTCAAAACTGCTCAAAGTAGGAGCCTGAGATCTTTTTTTTTTTTTTTGCAGTGGGGATTAAACCCAGGGGTGCTTTACCACTAAGATACATCCCCATCTCTCTCTTTTTTTTTTTTTTTTTTAATATTTATTTATTTATTTTAAATCTTTGGTGGACACAACATCTTTGTTGGTATGTGGTGCTGAGGATCGAACCCGGGCCGCACGCATGGCAGGCGAGCGCGCTACCTCTTGAGCAACATCCGCAACCCAAATAATTCTTTTTTTTTTTTTTTTAATATTTATTTATTTTTTTTTTAGTTTTCGGCAGACACAACATCTTTGTTTGTATGTGGTGCTGAGGATCGAACCTGGGCCAGACGCATGCCAGACGAGCGCGCTACCGCTTGAGCCACATCCCCAGCCCCCCATCTCTTTTTATATTTTTTTTTTAAAGAGAGAGAGAGAGAATTTTTTAATATTTATTTTTTAGTTTTTGGTGGACACACATCTATTTTTTTTTTAATGTGGTGCTGAGGATCGCACCAGTGCCCTCACATGCCAGGCAAGCGTGCTACCGCTCGAGCCACATCCCCAGCCCCTTTATATTTTTTTAATATTTATTTTTTAGTTGTAGTTGGACACAATACCTTTATTTATTTATTTTTATGTGGTGCTGAGGATTGAACCCAGGCCCTTGCACGGACTAGGCCACAACTGCTGAGCCCCAGCCCCAGCCCATTTTTATATTTTTGAGACAGGGACTTGCTAACTTGCTCAGGCTGCCTTCAAACTTGCAGTTCGCCTGCCTCAGCCTCCCAAGTTAGGAAGATGTAAATTCTATCTTATACTATGTTACTTCAGTTTGGACATTGGTCCAGTATAAAGAAAAAAATTAAAACACTGTTAGATCCTCTTCCAGTCTGATATTCTTCATTTTCCTATGTCTACAAATTTAACTCAAGTTTCAACTTTGTTACTGGGTCAATTAAAAATGACAAAAGTGGGCTGTGAATGTAGTTCAGTGACAGAGGGCTTATTTAGTATTTGGGAGGCCCTAGGTTCAAACCCTGGCATCAAAAAAAAAAAAGAAAAGAAAAAAAAGCATCAATTTATCAAGCATATTCTATAATCTCCGGAATGAAGACTAGTTGGAATCTGCTTTACATAACAAAGAGCAAAAGTTATTCATTAGGGCCAGGGCTCAGTGGTAGAGTGCTTGCTTAGCACTCCTACCATATGTGAAGCACTGAGTTCAATCATCAGCACCAAATAAAAATAAATAAAATAAAGGTACTGTGTCCATCTACAATTTAAAAATATGTGTTAAAAAAAAAGTTGTTTACCAAGAATAATTGGTTTTAGAGTCTGGAAATTTAGACTTGTCCATCAATAATAATGTAGTCGTGTAAAATACAAATGATAAAGATTATCTCCAGCAAAATTATTCAAAGATCTTCAGTTTAAAAAAAAAGAAAAAGAAAGGCTGGGGATGTGGCTCAAGCGGTAGCGCGCTTGTCTGGCATGCACATGGCGCTGGGTTCGATCCTCAGCACCACATATAAATAAAGATGTTGTGTTCGCCAAAAAAAAATTAAAAAAAAAAATCACAAAGAAGTCTTAGCCCACATGCCTGTAATCCCCAGCAGCTTGGGAGGCTAAAGCAGGAGGATTGAGAGTTCAAAGCCAGCCTCAGCAACTTAGCAAGGGCCTAAGCAACTTAGCAAGGGCCTAAGCAAATGAGCAAGACCCTGTTTCTAATTAAAAAATAAAAAAGAGCTAGGATTGTGGCTCAGTGGTTAAACACCCCTGAGTTCATTCCCAGTACCAAAAAAAAAAAAAGTTTTGATAGTTAAATGCTACACAAGAAAGGATACTGAAAGAGGTACCTAGAGATCTATTTCTAGTTAAGATTTCCAACTATTTATGTGAACTTGAACAAAGCAAAATATATCTGGGCTTTAGCATCTTCAACTGTAAAGCAAGGGAATTAGGTAAGTTTGTTTCCCGTTTAAAAACTTACACATTTTTTTTTCATATTTGCCCATTTTCAAAGTGGGTGTTCTTTTTTATTGGGGGGGAGATTTATTTTAGTTCATAGTTTCAGTCTAAGGTAGGCTAGCTCCACTGCTTTGGGCTTCTGGTGAAGTAGAATGTCATGGTGGAAGGGCATAGCAGAGCATAGCCAATCATCTCAAGGCAGTCAGGAAGCAGAAAGAATCAAAGTGCTTTGGGGGGTGAGGTAGGACATTTATTCTTATGTAAAGTACAAAAAGAAAAATAGCAATCACCCAAGTTCTCACTTTTCAAAATCAATCACTTAATATTTTGACCTATTTGCTTTGATCCTTTTTTCTGTTAGCATCTTTTTGTTGTTGTTTTGTTTTAATTAGTTATACATGACATTAGAAAAGATTTATGCATGAAAGTGTTTTTAATAAGACTGACTATATTCCATTTGTAAAATGCCTTAAAACTTAAAAGCATTTTTAAACTTACCAAGTAGGATACATGAGTATCACACGAAGTTATTTCATTACAATTTTAAACTTACCCAATAACACTGTAGGATACATGAGTATCACACTAAGTTATCTCATTACAATCTCCAGAGAAGAAAAGAAATGGAATCAATAACACTAAAAAAGGCCCTCAATTATGATCCTAACCTGTTGACAATTGATGTGATTTCCCATCGTATATTTGTTCATAGTCATTGCAAAGAGTCGAACATTACTATATTTAGCTACATTTTAAGAGTGGTATAAAAGCAAGAACATTGGACATGAAGTCAGATTCTGATAACTTGTGATTACTATTCTCACCAGTAAAAGGGTTGGTAATATCTAACTTGGGGGCTACTATTAGGCTAAGCACAAAATGGGAACATGCCTAACATTATGACTGATAAAACTAAAGGTAAGACAAAACTGCATTAAGTACAGTCCATACTGAGGCACTTTCAAAACTGTCACTATATAGTCACTTCACGTTGCATAGTCTTCCTTCCTACTCCTAAACCTAAGTTACCAAGTTCCTTGTAGGACCAAAGAAAGGAAAGCAAGAGAGTCACTATTGATCTCTCACAATACATGTTATAATTTTGTTCTTAATAGAAGCATCTTTTTCAGGAAATTTAAGTAATATATTGTTTTTATAAAGGTATCATGCAGAGCACTAGATTACAGAGATCTGGATTTAATTCTTAACCTTACCACTAACTAATTTGCACACAGGACTCAAACTTCTCTTGGTCTCAATTCTTTGGTGAAAAATGTAGTAGATGGTTTAGGTAACTACTGAAAAAGCTTTTTTTCAAGGCACATCACTATAGCTCAAGACTTCATAAAATGCAGATTAACATCAGAAGAAGTAAGCATAAATGAACTTTATTATCAGTTACCTAGCTTTTCAAAATAACTGTTAACTTTTAGATGAGTCTTGAAAAGAACCACCATTCAACCCCTACATTAAAAGATACATACTGCTAGCAAGGCATATTGGCACACACATATAATCTTAGCTACTAAGGAGGCTGAGATAGGAAATTGCTGATTTTAGGCCAGCCTGGGCAACTTAGAGAGATCCTGTCACAAAATAAAAAATACTGGGGATTGTAGTTCAGTAGTAGAGAGCCCCTGGGTTTAACTCCCAATACCAAGGAGGAAAGAAAAAAAAAAAAAATGAATCCACATAAGAACTGATTCTTAAAAGAGAAAGCATTTGACCAGCACACCTAATTAGCAGCAGTCTGTGTTGATGGAAATGCAAGAAGGAGTAGAGAAAAGTGGTTTTAACTCAGTATAACAGTAATATCCTAATTCATCCTAAAACACTGGTAGATTTAAAAGCTAGATTTACATGCCCCAATGTAACTTACTGTGAAACCTTCCCATATGGGTTTCCAAATTACAGCACCTGAGTTTCCCCTTCTGCATAAAAAGATAAGTATTCCTTGTCTATGTTAGTACAGAACTATGCAATTGAAGAAATAGTGTCTAACTTCAATGCCATTAGATCTTGCTTTATCTAACCTGAGGATTAAGTTTTCAGCCATCTCTTAAATATCAGTGTAATCAAAATTACCATTGAGAAGCTATTGAATTAATTACTACAACTTACGCCCCTGGATGCTCAAAACCCTCAAATGAACTTATTTCTCTTATTTATGCTGGGCCTCCGTTTCTTTGGGGCAATAAAAGACCAAGGTCTTTCATTAAGAGGCAGGTCAAACACTGGGTAGGTAAAGCAATTTATCTCTTTTAGTGAACAGTTGAATTTGCAACAGTTAAACATTCAGTCAAGGCTACATGCAAAAAGTGGACAAGCCCGTTATAATATCATTAACCATAAAAGAATCCTCAAAAATTTAAAAGTACGATTGCTTGCGTTATATGCCTATTATCTCACAAAACTCAATTCACTTGTGACTCTCCAATAAAAGTAGGTAAACAGATGGTACCTTCGAGAACCATCCGGTACTAATTCCGGACACAAGCAAACATTTTGGGGGCACTCAATTTTGCAACTTGGATGCAACCAACATGCAGAGAGAGGTCAAGTTTGAGGGTCTGCTCATGGCCAACCAATAAGTTCTGTCAGAAGGCATGACGCACAGGCATGGTAACACATTGTGTATGTCAGGTTCCCTCAGGCCCTGGGTTACGGGGGGAGGAGGGGCAAACTACATTTGTCATGAGAAATCCACTGTACATATAAGCAGGCTTCAAACCCTGGAATCTGAGCGAGGGTCACCTCAACCAAGCGGCGACTTTCAGGACACCACCGTGTGCCAGAGACCCAAAAACTTCTGGGGAAAACAGAAATGCACTAATGAAAAGTGCGGAGAAAGCGCCAACAAGAGGGGGGTGGGCGGCAAAGAAAACCTCCAGACCACCCAGGAGAAGGGGCAACTGTTCTCGGGAGGTCGGGATGCTAAAGCCCAGCCAGGACGCAGTTTAAGCAGCCGCCCGCTCATTACCTGACCGACATGACTTCGTCTTCCTGCCCCCACACCACCGCGCTGGCTCCGATGCTCTGCGTCCTCTGGGGCAGCTGCAGGTACCACAGCAATTGCTCCTCTGCTCAGGCACTCCGCGACCCAGAGCGCGTCCTCACACACCCCGCGCGCGGGCGGCCCCAGGCGAGCTGGCCTCGCGCGTTGATTGGCGGCGGGCGGAGGGAGCGCGTATGCTCCGCCCCCGGCGACGGCTGGAGTCTGTCCCTGGGCGCCGCGGGCCACGGCAGACAGCCAGAGCGGCTCGTGCCGGCTCCCAGGCGCGCGGGCTCGCTGGCTGGCCAGCGGGCTGGCTAGCGGGCGTGGTGGCCATCTTGAGTCCGGGTAACAGCGTCGGCCGCCCCACAGGGCACGAGGTTGGGTGCCCGCCTCAAAAATGGCCGCGCCGCTGGCAACTGGCTTCGCAGTCACATGGCCATGGTCTACCTCGGCAAGCTGAGGTCTCTTTAACTGTACGGGGGTAAGGGAGGCTGTCAGGGCAAATCGCGATAGGGTTTAACCACCTGAAAAATCCATCTGCAGAAGTAACGTAACCGCCTGCGAAACCTCAACCCTGGGGAAAATCGAACTCATAGCAATAGCAGCAGGACGTACTAAATTCCAATTTGCAGGGTTTAGCGGTCAATTGCTGGTCTGATGGTCCCGTTTGTTCGCGAACTTAAACACTTAAAGCATTTTAGTTAATATGGAGGTACCTAGGGTTCTAAACTGAATGAGAATCTTAGATGGATGAGACCCAAACACCCGGTATTCTCAGCGTGTTCCCAGGTGATCCACGTATGCACATAAAGTTTTACACCGTCTGGTCAAAGTAACACCACTGTACCCTGTTTGCCACACTTGACAGATTACCTCACTTTCCTCAAAAGTATGCAGGTTATAAAAACAAGCTATAGGAAAAAGATCAGATCGGGAGGTACCCTAACTCCTAACTCTAACCTTAAAATTCAATGCGGCTAAAGGATTAAGAAATTGTTTTTTATTTATTTATTTTTTATTTTTATTTTTTTTAGTTGCAGATGAACAAAATACCTTTATTTTATTTGTTTACTTATTTATTTTTTTATGTGGTGCTGGGGATCAAATCCAGTGCCTCATGCGTGCTAAACAAGCGCTCTACCACTGAGCTACAACCCCAGTCCCAGGATTAAGAAATTGTAAACCACTAATAAAAATATTTTTTAAATAGGAAAATTAATTCTAACTTTGGGAATATTAGGAGAGGGAAAAATTAGTAAATGCTTTATGTCCCAAATAGCGTTTATTTCTTCTTTGTTCTCTAAATTTAAACATTTATATTATTAGCAGTAACATTCATTTAATGATCATAGAGGATAATGATTTATTTCATATCTCTGAAATACATCAAAAATAAACCAAACACCATAATATAGTAAAATGTTGCTGATGGGTCCAGATGCATTGGCGCATGCCTGAAATCCCACCACCAATTTGTGATGCTGAGGCAGGAGAATCACAAGTTTAAGTCTGCTTCATCAACTTAGGTAGGCCCTAAGCAAGTTAGCAACATCCTGTCTCAAAATACAAAATAAGGGTTGGGGTTGTGGCTCAGTTAAAGCGCCTCTGGATTCAATCCAGAGTACTCCCCAAAAAATAAAATTGTTGCTGCTGGAACTGAAAAAGTGAATTATAATATATTTAATGTTAAAACTGAAGCTATGTGCTTTTCTGCTGGGGTTCATAAAGCATACCCAAATGTGAAGGCCTCAGAAGCAAAGTTTCCCTCTGACCTCCTATTTTCTTGATCTACACCCACCCACAATCCCACTTAAGGCAGGAAGCAGAAACTAGAAATTCTCAGGCAGGTCATAGAATCACTTTCCCCAAACAAGCTACAAAGCCTAAAAATAAATCTTCCCCTGCCTTTCTGTCTTGGAGTTGGCCACAAAGAAATTCTCTGACCTACCTTGTCTGATAGTAGATAAAAAGACCACCATTTAAGAAAGGGTCCTGCCCCATCCCCAGGAGGAAGGCAGGCTACAGGGAGAAGACAAGAAGAATCTGGTCAGGTCAGATCTTGCTAAGTTTTCCCACTTAAGTCTATTAGCATTAAATCATATCCTTTTTGTCCACTTGTATTTCTACACAGTAATTAGACATAAGCATTAAATGGATAGTTCACTCTAGGTCTTTGGGTTTTCATTCTTAAGGTTTCCATGTCACCTAAAACTACTATCAAAAATACAAAAAAAAAAAATTGTTATGCTCTTCTCTTAACTGTTGTGCAAGAAAAGGATCAACACATTTTCCTTCCCTACATTCCATTAAATACAATTTTATTGTTTTGATTGGACTGTTGCCCCCCACACCTACTAGGGATTAAAACTAGGAGTGCTCTACCACTGAGCCACATCCCCAGCCCTTTTATTTATTTATTTATTTTTATTTTGAGGCAGGATCTTGCTAAATTGCCCAAGCTGTCCTCAAACTTTCAATCCTCCTGCCCCAGCTTCTGGAGTCAGCGACTGGGAAGGCATGCACCACCTCACCAGCTATATTTTGCTTTTTAACCATTGAAATTTTAACATCCAAACTAGAATAATGTAAGTATAAACATTTACTAATATTTTCAAGACTTAGAACCAAAAAAAGAACATAAGACATCTCTATAATAAGTTTTCTATTGATTTATGTTGAAATAATATTTTGAATATACTGGATTAGAAAAATATATTAAGGTTAAACTGTTTCTTTTTTAATGTGACTACTAGAAATTTTAAATCATATCTTGCATTATATTTATTCCAGATAGTACTGTTCTGTAGTCTTAAATTATCATTCATTTTTTAACCTATCATTGCTCCTGTAACAGAATAATTACATTCACATAATGAAATTAGTAAAATGGACAATTTATACAAATCTGTTTTTCCTGGTATCCATCTAAAAACATCAAATATTCCAAAAGATTGCAAGTTTCTTTTTTTATTCATCTCAATTAGTTATACATGACAGCAGAATGCATTTCGTTTCATTGTACACAAATGGAGCACAACTTTTCATTTCTCTGATTGTAGTCACACCATTTGTGCAATTATACATGTACCTAGGGTAATGATGTCCTTCTCATTCCACCATTTTTCCTATCCCCATGCCTGCTCCATTTCCCTCCCTCCCCTTTGCCCAATCCAAAGTTGCAAGTTTCTTTAGAAAGCACTGTTTTTAGGCTTAAGACTTATTCTCTTTAATTTGGGAAATGTCTATCTACAGTGATTCATGATGTATTCAGTCCACAAGTAAAGTCCATTAAAACACTGGGCTATACTTGCAATCATGAGACTTTGACCAAATGTACAGAAGCAGAATGGTTCCACTGGATTAAACTGAATCCAAAGCACAGATGCAGGTGTATAGCAATTTTAAGTGGTGGAGACACCAATTCAAGAGATCCCCTCCTCCTCTTGCAGAAAACGTTAATACTTAATCCACATGGACTAAAATCAAGCCAGGAATAATCCTTAGGAGTATAAAATCTAAGTTAAATTTTAATATGGTGCACAGTATAATGTAAAGCAGTGCTTCTCAAACTTTAATATGCACACAAATCATTTGGGGAATCTTGTTAAAATGCAGGTTTGATTCAGTAGGAGTCAGTGGCTAAATTTTTGCTTGTTTTGTTGTTGTTTGTTTTGTACTGCAATTTAAGCCATGGGGGACTTTGACCACTAAACTACATCCAAAGTCCTTTTTTTATTTATTTTGAGACAGAGTCCCTCTAAATTGCTGAGGGTTTTGCTAAGGTCACTGCAGCTGTATTTGAACTACAAAACTTCCAGCCTCAGCCTCCTAAATCAATGAGATTACAGGTATGTGGCAGCCTGCCTCCAGCACCACCATATCCACCAAGTTTTGCATTTCTTTATGTTCCAAAGTCTGGCCAATTGCTTCTGATCTTTGGGTCAGAATGAGTAGAAACCTATTAGGTCTGTGACCTTGATCTGGTTCTTAATCTGTCTGACCCTAAGTTTAACCAGTTTAACTGTTATATACTTTTTAGGCCATAGCAAAGATTCAAATTTAATTAACTGAGTAAAGTGTCTGTCTAATGGAGTCCATAGAAAATAACATAATTATTATCACACTAGTTAAAATTACATCTCTGGGAAGCATGATACTAAAGCTAACATGAACTTGGTCTTCTGTAAAATCAAATGTGCTTTTGTTCATGCTTAACATACAATGGTAATTCATACTTTTTATTTTTAGCATAAAGATTGAAAAAAAAAAATGGGCTGGGAATGTAGCTCAGTCGTAGAGCACTTGCCTAATATCTCAATGCCCTGGATTTGAGCCAGCATTGGGGGGAAAATAAATAAATAAATTTAAAACCTTAATTTTGCTACCAAACAGCTGATTTTATTTTAGTGTTTTTTTTAAACAAATATACTAAATTCTAACATGTAGGTCTGCAACATTCAAATATTTAATCAAACTGAAGTCAAATCAAAGATTTTTTTTTACAAATTCATTTTTGATAAGTGACCTTTTGCATTTAACTTAATCAAAACTTTTTTTTTAATTAAAATCACAACATTCAAAAAGCTTATTCTTTTAAAAATGTATTTAGATACAAGTCATTTCTGCAAATATAAACACAAAAATATTTCAACAAACAGGACTTGTGTGATTGTTCTTTCAGAGTCAATGATGTAGGGACCCAAAGTAAAGATACATTTTTCCAGGTAAAGGCAGTTCTTTTGATTCACAGAGGTTTCACAGTAATTCTTACTCTTTTTCTAGGTTTCTCCATTTTTGAGAAACCAGTTTCTACCTCAAGGCCTGTCCAGAGGGAGGGGACATGACCCTTGTCCTTGGAAAGACCCACAGACCACTCCTAGGCACATATCCACCCTGCTGAGTTATTTGTCTATAAATAACAGGAGAGATCTCTGTGCCAAGTGTCCCAGACTCAGTTACCATAGGTGAGGAACCATAGCAACCCCCTAGCAACCACCAATCAGCATGAAAATATCTGAAATGCCAGGTGACCCACCCAGTAGTTTTGGTGATTGATAACATGATTAGGCAACCCTCCAAGTTTCAAGAGGTGGATACATTTGAACCAATCAGTTCAAATGTATCCACCTCTTGAACCAACCAATCACCCTTACCCAACTTGTTCCTGCCAGTGAAT